TATCCATATATCTAGACACACAAGTGACACCAACGCAGACTACTCCGGGCGACACTCCTAACTAGGTCTGTCTAGGACTGTGTCACGACTCTGACTCATCTGGTACCTCTATCCCTACTTGCTAACTTCACTCACGCCTAACTCTCGTCGACCACCTTACCGAAGAAACTTAGGACCTTCTCCTCTTATACCTTTACACGTAGACTTCCTCCTACCTTACTTCATTCCTTTTTTCTGAAGTTCCTTCTTCTATCTGTACAGTTCACTGTCAGGAATCACTTAGACTAAGTGTCTTACTTAACTTTTCTTTCATTTCTTTTCCTAAACTCTTACTTCTCACCTTTCACTAACACCTCAACCACTTCGTTAGCCGTCATTCGATGTAGGTCACCGGGACCTGATTTCGTTAGTGTTTCTTTTAACCTAGCTATTTTGTTCGTTCTAAAGACTCGTTTCCTGCCTACAACCAACTCAACTAATTACGTTCTGTTGTCCTTTTCAATGACTTTTAACTTCGGTGGGACTTTACTCCAAGCTTAATTTACGGTACAAGGGACCTCGTTTAGCCTTTTATGAACCCTCAAATAGTCACCTCAAGGGTATCTTTATCCGTATCTTCCTTGAGTTCCTTCTTTAATTTCCCCCCTTTCACTGACTATCATTTCGCAGAAGGGCATGATCCATAGTTCCATTTCTATCACCTAGCAAACAGACAAGAAGAAGTCAAACTTTCTTTGTTAACGTTGTCTTCTATTACTAGCCAACGACTGGAAAGGTCATTCTCTTAAGTAGGGGATTTGGAGACGCCACGAAATTCACCGGTTTCCAAACCGTACACCGTCTGTTCACGTTTCGTTGATTCGGTTCCACAGGTTGTACACGCCCCCCTTGTACTTATACCATCAACATGACGTCCACGGATTTCCACTTTACAACATTGACACCACCCCCTTGTATCACGGACCATAGTCCAGACACTTCACGTCTTTCCGGTTCCTCCACGTCTCTATGTTTCACGGTTTATTTTCAGAGTATACGACTTCGTTCGGTCTTTTTCCAAAGTGATTTGTATCGATCGTTTAGGGTTCATCGTAGTTCATACAAGAGAAGTTTTCTAAAAGGGTTTGAGGGTGTCCGTTTCCTTTCGAGGTGTTTCACAAAGTGTATTCACACACTATCCTCTCCTTACGTAACTACCAATTATTCATGTTCAAACACCGGAAATAACCTTTTCACCACTTACAACGAAATGTTGTCTGTTTTTTTTCTCCAGTTCTGACTTTTGTTATCACCCTCGTCGTCCACTTAAAAACCCCTATTTCCTATATTTGGCAACTTTCTATGTACTTTACGATCGGTGGTTATTTACTACTAGTGTCTAACTCATCTACTTACCAAAAAAGAGTAAGACGTTACCTTACGATCTTCGGAATTAACGTTTACCTGTTCTTAAGTTCTGGAATATTGATAGTCAATTTTTCTTTTTGGTCTGCAATAAACATAAGTTCTTTGTACCGACTTCTGGTAAACCTGAAGTATTAACCCCCTATATGACGATATTCTGTTCTATCTTTACTACCGGTCCCTCCCCCTACACGTTAGAAATAGTCTCTTCAGTACAGAATATCATTCGATTTAAAATTCTTGTCAGTACTAAATCTTTATATCACCACATTTCAAACCTAATTATTTTCCTTTTTAATCACAGGACTTAAAAATATTAGGTACATTATTTGAGTTTATCTCCTTATCTGTCAGAAACGGTCCTTTTACTTTATTATACCACACCACTAAAATTACGTGTATTATGTTACACCCCTCCCTCTAGTTGTCTAATGTTGCCTGTCCACCACCTCCCTAAATTACCTCCGTTTCCTTAATCAAACAAATTTATTACCCGTTCCATGTTCCTAGTTAAAAATCTCTACCTTGTCTCAGACGCTAGCTGGATTGAGAACATTGTTCACTTACTTAATCGAAGACCATCGTCAACCTTCATAACCGTTTATTGTCATACCCTCACTAGTAGAAGGCTAATATTAGTTCAACTATATTTAGTACACCAACTCGATCTGCCATAGTACTCTACCTGAAAAAGATTTCGTTAACCCTCTACAAACGATTTAACACGCTATTACTTAACCTAGTCTAACTATACCGTCTTTCATAACTACTTTATTTACTCGTTAAATGAAGTTTATATTAATTTTCGCGATTAGTTTGATAACCCTTATTTTGACCCTTGAACCATTTACACAATTCTACCATGGCACCACCTTGTTTCTGACATTACTACGTTAGGCTTTTGTTTTGTCCGACAAACCTTTCGATTCTTTCTGTGTAAGTAATGTATTAAATAATCTTATATTTTTCCGTGTCCGAGTCCATTCCTTGTAACAATTTTCTCGTTTTTCCCCACAACCTCTCCTAAGACAGTTCATAACCTCTTGATGTGGTAATCTATTTCATACCCCTTACTAATTCTTCTACTCCCCTTATTCTGTAGTCTCATTGGACG